GAAACTAAAAGTGTTTTTGTTTGACCTTCAGCTAACCAGAAAATTCAATTGACTCCTATTACCCATTACTCAGGTGTCCTGGTTTGATTGTATTAGGCACTTTTTCCTCACCTTCCCAGCATGAATGCTCCATCAGCACAGATGTGGTGTCTCCAAAGCTGCTCCGTGTGCATGGGCGTGTGTGTGCACACCTGTGCACCCACTGACTGGAGCCACTGATTCATATCCAGGGATTGTTCTGTCTTATAAATCAAGCATTGCTTTATTATATCCTAGAAAACTGCTTTTAGGTCATTGATTGAACTATAGACCATCCTCTTGCCCACATTAGGAAGTGACGTCTTTCAAGACACAGGTCCTCTGTGCTTGTATATAAGTATAAGTAAGAAGTAAATATGCATGTCATCCCCTCACATATTTAATTTGTGCCTTCCCAGTTGAATGTGCAGAGTAAAGGCTAACTTCCCATAACAGGAGAACTTTTAGGAAGAAAGAAGAAGGAATTAGCCACCAGGGAGAAGACAGGACATCAAGCAGAAGTTTGGTATAAAATCATTTATTCTAAAGCTGACCTGGCTCAATAAATAAGCGGAATTGACATTGTTGTATCATGCCAGAGCATCTGCTTTTGAAGACCGATTTTAGTTGACTCAGATATAAGTGGAAAATTGTGTCAGAACAGCATGGGAAATGAAGCACACTGCATCTATCTGTACTCCTGAAGTGTGTCTCACAGCTGTTCAGTTTTGAGGAAAATTATCTTGTCTGGAGACAATAGAATTATTTTCTTTGTTGGAATTTTTGTAGTTTCCAGAATCACATCTGCAGGTGATTCTGTTAAAGTCTAGAGTTGACTTAAATAGCAGGAAATTTTAGCCTATTGAAATCAGGAGAAGTGAAATATTTTTCCCTACCACCACCACCACCACCAGCTGCAGGCAAGCACGTGTACACCCAGAGAGATTTCACATCAGACGGAATGACAAAGCTGGTTCTGTTACCGAGGCCAAACTTGTTCTGCTCGCTGCACAACATTGATAAACAAGTGAATCAGGAGACAAGGTTTTGGGGCAAGGAATAGTAACTTTATTCAGAAAGCTGGCAGACCAAGAAGAAGGGGGACAAATGTCCTGGAGAATCATCTTGCCCAAGTCAGAATTCAGGCTCCTTTTAAGCCAAAATGGGGAGCGGGTGTGGTTGGCTGTGCAAACTTCTTGTTGCAGGCATTCTTTGTTCCTGCAGCCATCCATGTGGGTCAGGCTGTGGTGTCCCTGTAAACCTCCAACAAAACAAAGGCTATTATATATTTTGCAACTTGCCATCCCTGCGTATGTGCAGAAGTGCTAACATCCTTGAAGGTCTGACCCCGAGAATAGACCTTCCTGTAGGTTTTAGGCTAAAGGCAACGTTGTATTTAAAGGTGCAGAGCCAGCAAGATTAAGCCTGGAAATCAGGGCACAGTGCTTCAAACTAAAGGAACAGTTCCAATGTGGATTCAGACTTTTTCTCTTTTACAGTTCGAGTTAGGGGAAGTTTTGCAGTAGAAAATCCCCTCAGTTGTTTTTCTTGATTTGCCTGAGATCTTGTTTGTTGGCTTGTGGTCTCATGTGTCTAAACTGTATGTTCAGATGAATATTATTAAAATCATATGCTGTGGAAAACGTATCTGTTCTGCTTCAAAAATTACTGAAACATTTAGCTTTGTTTATTCCCATAGAAATTGGATTGAATCTATTCTCGACTTTCTTCTTCCTTCAAACCAGTTTTTTACTGGAGTGTTTAAAGCCCAAACTAAAGAATTCTGGAGAAGACCCATGTAATTCATAAGAGCTTTGCATCCGAATTTAAGACTGATCCATATTTGTACTTTTAATCAAGGAACACAATAAACTTACTTAGTCGATCATTTATGGTGTTTTTAACTTTCTCCATGTAATCTTTTTGAAGTTGAGAGGGTTAGACACCTGATCTAACAAAACAGGTGTCATTGCTTGACTCTGTGAATGAAAGAATCCCAGTGTAGTTTCCTGCAAGTATATTTTATTAAAAATTATAAAGAATTCTTGCTGTCTAATAAAGCAACAGACAGAAGAACATACTGAGTGTTTAAAATAAATAAGACTATGGGTTAACTTACCTAAATAAGTCAAGATAGAATAGAGAAAAAAGTATGAACTTGAAGGAAAATAGATATTGTGCAATTAATATCCCATTTTTAAGAAGCAAATGATAAAAAAACCCACAATAATTAATCATTTATCTACAAAGGAGTTATAAAAAGCCAACTTATTTTCATAAGAGTTACATAAACAAAAGGGCTATCTAAATCTACATTATTAAAGTTGAATTATACCAAATAGATCTCCAAGGTTGATTGATTTTCATGATATCTATAATTTTTGAAAATATAACTGACATATAACATATCCAAGCAGCCCTTCAGTTATCCACAGTACCCTAGTATACATTTATTCTTACTGTACTTAAAACAAGTAATAGGCAAGGTTCAGGCCCTTGCTTTTGAACTGCCACTGGAATTCTGGATATTCCCTTATGTTAAAGACCAAAAGCAAAGTAACATTTCTACTTTAAATCAGTTGCTCAAACACTTTAAAACATTCACTATCTATGTCCAGTTACAAGAAAGAATTAAATTTTCTGAACCTTAGAAAAAATCTGCTGCTGAAAATGAAATTCTGTCATGTATGCTGACCATAACTATAAAAGCTCTAAAGTAATGTTCCCTTTACTCTTTTCCTTCCAACATAGATCATGATCAACGCTTTCAAATTCCATTTATGCTAGATGAACGAACGCCTCTCCACATGTTCAATTCTGACAGTTGAATTTGTGTGAAAGCCGTCAATCACCTAGCTTGTTGGGAAAACACAGTTTCTTTTCAGTGGGAAAATACACGACATAAATATATATGGGGAGGTACTAGCTCCAACTCGGTTTTACAGAGAAAACTGCATGAACTTGAAACTGACACTAAGAAACATACTGAGAAATCACATTAAGTGTTTCTATGGCTCCTCAATCCCTTTAT